TCTCGTTCCCTGATCGATTTCTAACACACGAAGGAATATATATATATATATCAAGAAAACTATATTTTAAGGAATGTACATATGTATATCATATACAAGGAATGGAGGAAGAGAGAGAAACGGGGAGCAAAGAAAGAATATGAGCATCGGAACCGAGTCGACCGAGAGGGCCCGTATCGTTTTAACGTCTCTATTAGCGGCTATTAAAAATGAGCTAGAGACGAAAAAAAGCTGTGGAACGAGGGTAANGTAGGAGGGGGTGGGGAGGGGTCCAGGTTCGCTTGAAATCGCGGGCCCTCTGTTCACATGCCGTCTCCTCCTCGTACCGGTATCCAGTTACCTTTTGTGGAGGCCCTCGTATAGCTCAGATTTTCGAATGATATGTTCTCCATTGTGCTCGCCGAGTATTTAGCATGGCACGGGGTTGGTCTAAATCGAGGGTTCGCCAGGGTGAGGAGGGATAGAGAGAGGGGGAAGAGGCTAGTCCGAGATCGGCTCGTACCACGACGACACGAAAAATTTACGCTCTCTCTCTCTCTCTCTGTGTTCGACACGGGGGTAGATTCTGTTAAAATGATATCCCCCGTCACTCTACTGGAGTTGAGGATAGATCCGATTCTGATATCGAGGTTGAAATTGATCGTTCTCCAAGTGTTCTCTTTTTTTTTTTTTATCCCGCCTCTCTTTCCCCCGCGCTTTGTTGTTACCTGGGAAGAGTCGTAGAAACTAGTTTCGAGAGGAGAGAGAGAAGGACGATTGGCTCGGGTATTCTTTTGAAAGGTGCAATTTTTATTGAACGAAATTTCTTTGCATTTTGTTCGTTTTTGCAGTTAGCCTTTATTTTTATAAAGAAAGAAATCATTTTTTTTTATCGAAGAGAGAGAGGAACTATTGGCTTGGAAATCTTTCTAAAGATGTAATTTTATCAAAGCGAATGAAATTTTTTTTGCATATTTTTCCGTTGTATTTTTAATTTTATTCGTTTTATAGGTTTATTTTTTTTTACCAAAGAAATCGTCTTTTATCGAAAATACAAAGAGAGGAGAGAGAGAAAAAGAGAGAGAAAGAGAGAAGAACGATTAGCTTTCAAAGATGCAATTTTTATCCGATTGAACGGAATGCCCTCGCATTTTTTATTAAAGTTTGCTAAAATTATAAAGCATTCCCGATATTAAATATCACCATTTATTACCATTTATTATAAATAGCTATCTGAAAATCTGAATGAAAGAAACGATAAAAAGCTTAAAACTAATAAGATATCAATATTAATTCTTCCAAAAAACTTTCTACTCGAATATAACATTTTTCGAAATAAAGAAATTCATATTGGAGAATTGGCGTGGAAAAATGACGCATAAATTACGGACACAGTATCGATGTTAACCACGTTTAAACTCGAAAAAGATCGAATCACTCTTTAAAGAGGCCTGTCAGGGGCCTGAGCGGGGCGAAAAGCGGGGGATCCTTTCACCGTAAGTTTCTTCGATCGGGGATCAATCGGGTGGGTTCCACAAGGACGACCATCTTGCGCGTAATTACAGTAGCTTCCGTCACGGTTCGAGCGCCCTGCCGCCCCGTCCTCCGTGCATAATACTTTACAACGTATAACGCATACAGGAGGGATTACAAAAGTGACTCGTCATGCGGCATAAATACTTAACGGCGGAGCGGCATCCTCCTCGCCGCCGTTCCTCGCGTTGCACCTGATACTTTCCCCGCGGGCGCTGGTTTTGATGATCAATTTCTTTTTTAATCATTCGCCACCGCCGAAAACTTACCTCGTCACCTGTGCGCGCCTCGTTCGACGCGGGCCCTCGATTCGCCACGCGAATACGCCTCGAATTTGGCGAACGCGTGCGGCCGACGTGGACCCGAGGCCGCGAATACATTATATACGTACGTTTTACACGACGCGAGGGAAAAAAGAAAGAAAGAAAGAAAGAAAAGAAAAGAAAAGAAAAAGAGAAGAGGGAAGCTCTTCGCTGCAAAATTCGTCGAACCGTGGCCCTTTTTCGTGGAGAGCTCGTTGAGTTTTAACGAGCGACCGAACCGTGAACCTCTGTATCCCTCGTTAACCGCGGAAACAATATAGTAGCGGCAACACGGTTTGATGATACGGACGATGCGATGCTCAATTCTAATTATAATTTTAATTTTAATTATTCGCGTTTTGAAATTGATGCGAACGCCGATAACAACAATTTATTAGAAAGGGAGGAAGATGATGAGTCGAGAGTTTTTTTCTCTTTGGGAAAGAAAACGAGTCGCGAATTCGTAATTTTCACTACGGAATCGTGTGCAACAGAGAGAGAGAGAGAGATTTTTGATCGTTGAACGAATTGATACCGGTTCTTCAAGATTCATTCGAGGGAAGGGAAAAAAATTGACACCGTAAGCTCGAGCCTCCGCACTTTAATGCCACGACATTAAGAAGCGTTGAATAGGGACACGACGATCGGTGGACGAAGCACTATGCGGAACAAAACGGAAAGAGGCTGGCACACATAATAAGTCGCGCCCGCTCGTGCGGGTGTCTCGTGAAAGGGCCAAGACAAAGGGGAGCGGTCTTGGGGGCATAATTAAAACGCGTCGAGTGTCCCGTTGATGCGAGACACGTTGAAGAAAAAGAAGAAAGGGGGGAGGGAAATAGGAGGGAGAGGGAAGAGGAAGGGTATACGGGTTCGATTACCGTGTCCAACGCGTTTCAAAAGTCCACGTGAGAGTGGCCTCTACACGAATCGCGTTTCTACCGCCTTTATACCCTCCTCCTCTGTGTCCCCGGAATCGAATAAATCGCTTTCATACCTTCGTCAGGGAAATTGACGTCTCGTTATATATTTCTGTATGGAGAAAGTGCGAAGGAAACGTCAGATTTACAAGGGAAACTGATTCAACCCCTTCGTGATGAGTTTACAGATGCAATAGCAGCTGTGAAAATTTTTCATCTTTTTTTTCCGAGATATCAAATGATACTTTTTTCCCCATCTTTTATGAACGATTAAATAAAATTAAATAACAATGTTCAATAATACAATTTTCGAGAAATAATATATATAATATTCCAGTCTATGATTTATAATTTCCTTGTCCTGTCAAGAATCAGGATCGAGAGAATACTACGTTCACGAAAGATCAATTGTCGAAGAATATGGACGGAAAAATGAATTTATCGAACGTTTCTTCTCGTTCTCAATTTGAAAATTGATAGATCGCTCGACTAATTGGATAAATGGTGTACGTTCTTTTGCATTGGATCGATAAAAATATGAAAAATTTACATATAAAAATAGACTCGTAAAGGCGTGGAGAGGATCTCCAAGTAGTTTAGGCGTACTTAGACAAGCGTGCCACGTTAAAAAGGCGAATCAGCTCGAGAGTTGGCGCTTCTCCTACCGACCGCCCTCCTCTTTTCGGAGGAAGCCTCCATCCGGACGATCCGACGATTCTCGTTTCGAGCAGCGAACCTGTTCGAAATCACTCGAGGTGTTACCGTGGTAACAGTGCGGGCTGGAAACTCGATTAGCAAAGAAAATACGGGAGTATCTCAGGAGCCCAGGAGTTGAATCGATCTGGAGCGAAGAGGCTTTTAAGGCGACCACAACATCTCATTGTCTCTGGCAGACTTGCGAATGATTCTCCTTTCTCTTAATATCAGGATCGGGAGGTGGCGTTCTCCACGCTCAAAGTAAATTCCCTTCACCGTGTTTTCCTTTTCCCCGTTACACGATTACACGATGGAGAGGAAAAATTATTTTCACGTAAGTTCGAGGTGTTTGCAGTTTTCATCTCGCATATTGAAAATTTCTTCTTCTTCTTCTTCGTCTTCTACCCATCTTCGAGTAAGAACAAAAAAAGAAAAAGAAAAAGAAAAGAGAATTGACGTCAGTCGGTAAATACGAATTATAATATGGATTTCCTCGATAATGGCGGCCTAAAGCGTTTAAAACTCGCTCGTGGGTGACGTGGGTGAGTAATACTTTCCTGTCGACAAGTCGGGACATCCGTTCCGATCGTGCCACGACCACGTTCGCCATTTATCTCCCTGACCACGAAGGATGAGTCGTGTGAGAAGTTTTCGTGCGAGCCGTTTCTATATCTATCCGTAATCTCTCGAGTAATGAGGTGAATCCTTCTTTTGTACGTGCCCGTCGCCCGAGAATCGTCGTTCACTCTCCCGTGAATCCTTCTGCTCACCTGGGAAGGATGGGCCCGCTCATTAATTATAGTCGCTCCGTGGCGATGACTGGAAACAAAGTGTTTTTCCAGTGCCGGGTAACAGGCTGGATTAGCTTTACCCTAGGTCGGCCAACGAATTGAAATTCTCATCGCTCTCGTCTTCAACGCGCCTACGCGAGCCTTAGCTGCTCCAGAGATGGGGCTGACCGACTTGCTACCAATAATCGGTGACCTCTCTTGTTAACCCTTCGACGGGAGATGCATGCTCGAGTAAGCGATCCTCGAACGAGTAACGAAAGACGGACGTGGTGGAAAATATTGCGCGGCCAACGATTCGAATTCTTTTTTTTTTTTTTCCGCCAAAATAAATCCTCGAAGGTTTCGAGAATTTTTCTAACAAATAAATTAAGAATGATTCGAATTGAGTTTTACTCGAGACATCGAAAATGAAAGTTAAAATTGTTAACAAAGAAATAAAGAAAGAAAGATTCGAATTTTCTTGACTTCGTTCTCGCAACGAAAAACGTTGCGATGTCGACGATGAAATAATGGAAAATTCGAATTAACTTGATCTCGGAACGAAAGCGATACGAGAGCAAGAAAGATTTACGCGGGAGATTCGAATTTTCTCGGCTTTGGGATGTCAACGATGAAATAAAGAAACATTTGGGTGGAAAATTGGAATATTGATTTCTATCTCAAAGGGTTAGGAAAATAAAGAAAAATTTGCGCGGGAGATCTTAATTTCGATCTCGAAAGGGGACGATAAAGAAATAAGGAAAAGGAGAAGTAAAAATAAATGGCTCGACGTTATGTTTCAGAATGCAACAGCAATCTGGGACAGGAAACGGGAATACGCGACGCGCGTTGAGTCCAGGGCCGGGTGGCAGCGATTCGGAGGACTCGGATATCTCGCTCGGCGGCACATCGCCCGCGTCGCCGAGTTCCTCACCTCCGCCAACTCATCAACCATCTCCTGTTCCTCTCGGGCCCCTTGGTCCCCTGCCTCCGCCATCCTTAAATTTCCGTTTCGATCCTTCGCAATCGCAGTTTCGATTCAACCACGCGACGGCCTTCAAATTCCCGCCGACGGGCTTCCGGTTTGGACCGCACAGCCCGCAACACAATCATCCCAACATCTCGGGCGGTGGAATCTTCAGGCTGACGGAAACGAGCCCGTTCCAAGCTGTGGGGCCCAGGGGTGATCTCGGTTCCAGGTGAGTCCTCACGTTTTAAGAAACTTTATCCTTTCTTCATCGCGTAAGATCACTCGGAACAGATATTCAAAGAGTAATGTTTCGTTTATATATTATCGAATATCTTTTTCATCTATTTAAAAAATAAGAAATTTATCGATATATTTATCTTTGTTACGTCATCTTAATTCTAGTCTAAATACATTGGTTATGAAAAGCATCGTTATATTTGTCACAGCTTTTGGTACCGCTTGATACGGTGTTGATTCATGTGTTATTTTTATTAAATACTTTTTTGAAGAGTTGAACATTAACTCGTTGAAAAAGTAACTAGTTAAAAATCTCGAATAAATTTACTTCAACTAATTAAAATAATTAAAAAAACATTATTCATTTATTCGTGGCTATAATAATTGATCCGTTTTTCACATAATCTTGGCGTTTCAACAATTATCCGCGATCGTTATATTTATATTTCTGAACGATAAATTACAATCGAAGCAGCTTTATTCATTAACTTCAACCGTGAAACGTGTGTTACGTAACCTTGTTAACGAACAAAGCGAAGAATCGAGGTCGAAGAATCGATCGTTTCGAAGGAAATAGCAATCTGAAAGCTGCAAAATATTTTCCAATTCCAGATTACCCGATCCTCTGGGTCTACCACCCCCGAGGTTGCATCCGCACGAGGGCCTGCTCCACCATCCCCACGTACAGCAC